TTTTATCTGTAAATACTTCTGTATGTATCTCTAAAATATTATAACTTATTAAAATATAACCATAGATCTGTTATCACATGTGAAAAACAAATAATTATGTAACATCAATGTCTATTTGGTGGTTACATATTCTCAATTGTCTTATAGTTTTTTTTAAATAATTTGTGTGTGTGTGAACCAGGGTTCAAATAAGGTTCATACTCGAATTGATGGATGTGTCTCAGTGTGGCTACCTCCCCTTCCCATGCTTCTCATATTTTTTATTTGTAGTTTTTTTGTTGGCGATACTAGGTCATATGTCTACATTTTTCCATAGCCTGGGTCATGCTCATGGCAGCCCAGGATGTCATGGAACATCATTTTCTGGCAGTTCTTATAAACTGATAGTTAGAACAAGAGGAAGCTGTTGGTAAAGCACAAGTCCTCATAAGAGAAAGGAGAAAGTCACTGAAGGATAAGCTAAGGTAGGGTATTTGTCTTGCCAAACCAGCTTGCACAGTGTGCCCTGGAGTCTGTGTTCACATTCAACCCATCTATTAAATTGGCTATAGATATAAGATTGACCAGTGAAAAGTGATCTTATGAATAAGCATTTATTGAGTAGCTGATACTAGGCGCTAGGGATTCAAAGTCAGATGAAGCCTCCTCCTGGCCTGGGCATGTCTGTCCTCTCCAAGGGACAGACCAGTTAGACAAGAGTGCATCAGGAGAGCGCTTTGTGGCGTGAGAGATGCCAGAGCTGCGGAGAAGGGGGATTTGTGTCACCGGGTAACGTGAGGTTTCCAGAGGGGGTGATGTGTTATGAAGGATGCGGTATGAACAATGGTTTTCTTGAGGTAAACATATCAAGATTTTATTGCCACACAATAAACAAAATAGGAAGCTTGAAGCTGGATGACTTGGCCCTTTCTCTTTTTATCTTTTCCCAGTTCAAGGTGCCTGCTTGTCTTCACAGGCAGCATTCTCTGAGATCTGCAGTTTCCTCTGCCTGCTGTCCCACTGGAATGAGATTCCTGATAGCAAGGACCTTGACTGTGTCCTTTGTTACCTCGACCCTGCGTAACCCCTACTGTTCTCACCTGGGGCTGTTTCCCTCGGAACATTCCTTTAATGTGAGTGTCTCAGTTTGTACATAGAAAAAGGCTTGTTAACATGTGGAGAGTTGTAGCCAAATACATTCTGTGATAATGACACCCCTCTCGTTGGTATAGCTCATGACAGTTTACAAAGCATTTCTCTTCTGGTTGTCTTACTTGATCTTCACAGTAGCCCTGTTGAGGTGATGGCAGAACAGATACTGTTACCACAATTAATGGATGAGGAAGCAGGTGAGTGACATGAGGTCCCGCGGCCAGGGAGGACCGAAGTGGGCGCTGAGTGAACCCTGGCCTGGCCCAGCTCCCACGCCAGCGCTGTCTTGGGCACAACGGTCTGCAGGACCACCAGGACCACCTCCTTTCTTTGCTCATGAAAAATAAAGGCCAACGAGGAGCATGTTCCATCCCAGGCCACTCAGAGAGCCTCATGCAGATGTTGACCCAAGCTTTAGCTTCAGTGGCATGGGCTTCTTTAGGAAGCACAGTGTGGGACTGCTTTGGTGCCCAGCAGGAAGTCCGCCTGCTGAGGCTGCTGTGGACCCAGAGGAGCAGACTTGCTCTCCATCAAGCTGAGTTGCGTCAGGTCAGAGACAAAAGTCCATGAGGGAAGCATGTGTAAGAACACTGGTAACACAGGACCTAGTGTGCAAACAGCAAGCCGTGTGTTTGGCATCGGGAGGGGCGGGGCCCTGCTTGACTCCCAGGCTCCGAGTGGCAGCAGCCTTTCTCCTAGTGGCCCGCAGCGGGGCCCTGAGCGGCACAGAGGCAGACTTCTAAGGAAGATGGAGATGGTGCTGGGATGGTCTGAAAGGTTAATAAACCAGTTATGGAAGTATTTGGGTGCTGGATCTGTGCAGGGTGAGGTGGCTCTTGCCTATTATGTGCTGGGAGAGAGCACAGCCTGGAAGGAAAGGGCCCCCGACTAGAGGGTGGAATACAGGGAGCTGAGTTGAGACCAGAATGTACTGTGTCCCCCCCCATCCTGTTTTGAGTGCTGTCCTGGGTGGGCCCAGGCGCCGATTCCTTCCTTCAAATTCCCTTCTCTGCCTCACGTGCCAGCTGACCTCAGACCAATCGTCCAGTCTCTCTGAGTGCACCCTATGTTTTCCTAAGTAAAATGAAAGATTTCGTGTTTTTGTAGGCCTCCAGTGAGGTGAGGTACAGTAAGTAGGAAGAAATCAGAAGTTCATCCTGAGCCACACATATGGTAGATGGTTCTGTTGCCATCACCGCGGCGGCTGTAGGAGTGTCTGAGGCAGGAGGTGAGGTCTGGGCACGTTGGGGCGTGCAGTGGTGGCAGTCTGTCATCTGTTCAGGATCCCGCCTGAATCTCCTTTGGCGGTAATGGCGGACTGTGTGGCTGGGCATCGACTCAAGCCTTCCCATTGCGGTGGTGCCTCACGACACTGGGGGTCACATGGGAGCTTTTCGTGCGGCTCTCCTGCAAGGGGGACACTTTGGAACTCGATGGTGGGGGATGTGTGTGTGCTCTGCTGGGGAAAGGGTGTGCAAGGAGAGGCGGGGAGGAAGTCATGAAGCATCACCTGCCGTCCCCTACTCTGCCATGTGTCTTACATGCTGTCTTTACTCCTTTCAGTAGCCCCTTTAAACCCATTTTCAGAGGAGAAAGTTAAGAAGTTTTCGCAGTCACTCAGTTAGTAAATGGCATCAGAAGTCTAACCTGCATCTGCCTGAAAGCCCACGTTCTTCCTGCCACGCTGCCAGTCTTGCCACCCCTTCACCTCCATCTTCCCGGTGCTCCCAGGCCTCTGGGCTGCGAGAATTATGCATGTCGTGCAGCCAACTCTGTATTGTCCCTTTTCCCTATCCTAACACAAATGCCTCATTTAAGTAACTACTCCTGTTACTAATAATGACCATGCTAATCGTCACTGAACAGAGAAGAGTGTGTATGACTCTAGTGTTGCTTTACTGGACGGTCCGTTTGGGCTCTCTGCCCGACTTCCTTAGGGCACAGTGAGATCTGGGGCAGAGATACAACCTTAGAGAGAGGACCGTCACTGCCGTGAGAGTCCTCTGGTTCCTCACTCACACGCTGCGTGCTGCAGCAGGGAGGGGAGCCGTCGAGGGCCCTGCCGGTTCTGAATGGGGAGGTGTTCGTGGTACAGAAACTGAATTGTTTTGGTGCCTCCTCCAAGGATCTGGACTCCAAAACGAGTGCGGATGGGCTTTTGGTTATTTCTGATGGTCCTTTAAATAGCCCTACAATTTAAAAAGTAACATATGCTCATTGTGTTAATTTTGTACGATATAGAAAAAATACAAAGAAGAAAAAGCAAACACCGTATTACACATATTATATATAATTATGTAGAAATGAAACAAAGTTGGGATTATTACTTAGCAATTGGTTGTGCACATTTTTCTACGTCATAATTACCCTAACCTGATTTCTCATGCATTTCTAACATGCCATTAGATGATGGGACATGTAATTAACTCCCTATTTCTGGGAATCTGGGTCATTTCGTTGTGATGAACATTCTCACAGATAAGTTTCTGTGTTCCGAATAGCAGACTGAGATTAAAGCCTGAGATTTATCTTTTGTAAAATGGAGGCAACAATCCCATTTCAAAGCACCATCTAGATTATATAGAGTAATGTCTATAAAATACTTAGCACAGTGCCTTACACACAGTTAGTGCTTTATGAACAGGAACTGTTATTAGCTTACTTTATGTCTGATTACCCTCAAGGTTTTTGAGGGCTGCGTGGTTTTTCATTAGTCTGTCTGAAGGTCAGTGGCACAAGAAGCCACTGTGAGCATCAGCTCAGCCACGGTTGAAGCCTGTCAGGTGAGGTGCCCACAGGTGGACCCTGGCAGTCAGACTGCTGCTGGCTGGAACATCCCGACCAAGATCTGGGCTCCTTGGCTACCAACATGCTCCATAGCCTGGCAGCTGTCGGAGTTTAGCTGCCTGCCCAGGAGAGCCAGTGAGAGCCGTGGAAGCCATCCCTCACTTAGAACCTTGTCCTTGCCCCTTATTGTGCATCTTCGTGCCCTTGCTGTAAGGAATGGTGGCTGAGGGTGGTGTGCTAGGCTCAGGGGTGGTCACCATGGCTCCCAGAGGAGGATTCGCTTTGGGGTGTGATGACCTGAGAGTGACTCATACCTGTCATCTTGTTCTGTATGACGTGCCACCTAATAATACCCTAGTGTCAGTGGTCATTTGGCTTGTGCAAGGCTGAAGCCCAGAGGGTTTAAATGATTCGTTTAAGGTCATAAAACAAATACTGTACGTGGCAAAACCAAACTCCAGGTCTTCTGGGTCCACCATCACCGTAATTTTCTCCCCGGACCATGCTTACTTCCAGTAAATGAAAAGGAACCCAGGATTAGAGGTCATGGTTAACTGGCACAAGTGTGTCTGCCTCTCTTTCCTGAGAGCTTCGTCACTGGAAACTGAGACCACGTGGCTCTGGGTCCTGCCCTCTGTCTGTGGGGGACCTTCCTTGCAGCTTCTTCTGTTAACATCATCAAGAAGCAGGAAGACTCTTCTTTCTTTTCTCCCTTTCTAAATTTCATACAAATACTTGGAGCTGGTTTCTGTAGGACAAAGTCACTGCTTTCTGCACAGAAATATCTGTAGTCAAACAGCGTTTATCTTACTTCCTTGGGTGTGAAGTAGAGGAAACCAGCCTCAGCCCCCTCAGCCCCCTCAGCCCCCTCAGCCCCCTCAGCCCCCTCAGCCCCCTCAGCCCCCTCAGCCCCCGCCACCCAGGCCCAGGAGTGGGGACAGGGCTGCCAGGCTCTCCCTCCTGCAGAGCAGAGCGCAGCTGTGAGGACTGTGCCCAGGCTCCGCCTTCCCCGATGCTCCTGGGCTTGGGCCGAGCTCCTTGCTCAATTGAAAGTTTTAAATCTTTCCTTAACAAGTGTTACTGTGCTCGCTTTGGCAGCACATATGCTAAAATTGGAACGGTACAGAGAAGGTTGGCACGGCCCCTGCACAAGGATGACAAGCAAATTCGTGCAGCGTTCCAGATTTTTAAAGGGGCAAAAATTGGGAAAACTGTAATAGCATAATCAATAAAAAATACTTAAAAAAATCTTCCATTTATTTTTTAAAAGGTGTTTTTATTGAGCTTCCAAAGACGCTCGTTCATCTGTTACTGCAATAGCTAGCTATCACTTGCAGGAAAATTGTAAAATGTCAAATTGTGGGTTATTGTGCAAGTAGAAAGACTGCCTTTTTTTGCCTCTTGCTGGGTGGGTGCGGACAGGGCGATTCTGCCAAGTCCCACGGACCCAGCTGGAGGCCATGGCAGACATTCTGGGCAGACATTCTGTGTCAGGGCCTGGGCCGGGGCAGGGCCAGCCTGGGGGCCCAGCAGTGCTTGTGAGGGCCAGGCCCAAGGTGCCGATGCAGGCCGCATGGCTGTGGCTTAGGCTCGTGAAGGAGGGCAGAGGTCAGACAGAGTAAGGTCACAGAGTGCTAGGACAGCCTGGTAATTAAGAATATTGAAGTTCTTTGGCCCGGGCCCATTTTTCGGCTCTGTCATTGCTATAACCTTAGATGAGTGACTTACGGCTCTCAGCCCAGGTTTCCTCACCTACGAGTTGGTGTCAGCAGAAGCACCTATTTCCCAAGTTTGGGAGATCATTAAATGAGACGATGCTTATAAAGTGCCTGGCAGATAGTAAGTACTGTATAAATGTCAACAATGAGTTTAACATTTGTATGTTTTTGCTGATTGTGAGTTCAGGTGCTTTTGGAACTGATAAGAGGAGAGAGGTAGAAAAATATTTTCCCACTAGGCATTCATTTCTTCCTTCTGAAAATGCGTAGTGATGACTCACTCGCTGGCAGGTACTCTGTGGGCCATGGGAGCACAAGAGTGAGAAGCTCATAGTGTACCAAGTCCCAACGGCATACAACAAAGAACTGTACGGATATGGGCGACGCCCAGCCGGAAAATGGCTGCAATGGGACGTGGTGGAAACAGTCGGCTTGGGGAGCAGGCGCTGAAAGGCTTCTCAGAACAGGAACATGGAAGGGAGTTTGCATGCTGTCAAAGGCACTCCGGGCAGGGAGACGGGCTGCACAAGGACTCAAAGAAGGGGAAGAAGGGCAGAGTTTGTCTGGTACAGTCACAGCATATGGGGACATAGCGAGAGACCAGAGATAGAAGACACATTTCCTCCCTGCGAGGAGTTTAGAGACTGATAGGGACAGGGACAAGCGAACTAGTGATGACCGAGGGCCTTGTGTCGTGGGCATCCTGAAAGTGATTGCTGTTCTCCACGCAAGTGGTAAAGAAAGCCAGAGAGGGAACGTGACACAACCTATGACTTGCAGATCTGAGAGTTCACCAGTTGGAGGAAAGTGTGGGGAGACAGAAGACCATCCCACAGAGCGTGCAGGATGGAGAAGGGCCTGGAGGGTTATGAGTGGGCACGGGTCACGTGAGAAAAACAAGCCTGTAAGTATGACTGGAGTAAAGAATGACGAGGCAAAACAAAAGACATGATGAGGCTAAGATGTTCACGCATCCATTCACTCAAAAAATACGTCTTGAGCACCCACAGCATCCCTGTGCAAGGTTCTAGCCAATCACGAGTAGGCTGGGGGCACAGGTGGTGTTGGTGTGCCCTGGGGCTGGATTTGGGTGAGATGCAGACATGACATTAAGAAAACAGGGCCTCCCATGGTGAACAATTATTTAGTTTTCAATTCTGATTATAAGGGAGAGAGTCTCAGCTTGGCTAATGGGTGCCTAATACCTCTCTGATACTTGTTCATCTGTCTTTTTAACAGACAGCTATAGGCCTTGGGCTCAGAGCACTGGCAGGCAAGAGTGTATAGCTAGAATTTAGTAAGATTGTTTTGCTTCCTGTTTTTTTTAATTATTAGATATTTTCTGTTTGTGGCAAGTGGTACTAGTTTTTCATTTATAGAAGTCATAAACTTTTTAAAAATGTATTTGAGTCAAAGTAAATGAGTTATTTTAAAGGAAATATGTAAGTTCGGCAGAATACAAATGCAGATATGGGAAAGCGAAGGGGTGGACAAGGAAGTAGCCGAGACCCAGGAGGCACAGTCACTGCTGCTGGGAAGCCATGGTTTTCTCGGAGGAGGAAGGAGCAGCAGAAGACGCGTATTTGACCCGGGGCCTTGGGGCCAAAGTTAACTGCACCATATTGGTTTTGAGGTCCCAGCTCCTAGCATAGAGCTAGACAATTAGCAGGTGCTTAATTTTGGGTGTCCCAAGATATGCTATTCACAGCTGATCTGCTTTGACAGCCAAACCTTGCATTTATTTTTCTGTTCCATTTACCAGGGTCATTACAAAATGCATGGATGCCTGGAAGGAGCTGGAAGCTCTGGCATGGTCCAACGGGAGCCTGTGGGTAGACCAGAGGTCCTGCACTAGGGTCAGGCTGGACAGCACATACACCTGGTTCCCTGCAAACATGATGAGTCCTCCCCACTTGGTGCTGTGATGATACTTCACCCTTCCTGGGGCCGGCTCCTTGGATCCTATAATAGTTGCCCCATTGTTCTCAAGAGAGATGACAACCAGAGGTGGCAGGGGTGGGCGAGTGTCTGATACTGCTGCCATTTCAGTACCTCTAAGAGACGTTGTGGTTCTTGCTTGCTTCTTTACATTTTTTTCACTATCATAGCAGTGATGCACAGCATGTTTTATATATAGTACAGTCCCTTTAGCACCTGGATGTGCTTCTTGGACCCACTCCCTGGAGGTCCAGTGGTACTTGGGAAAGACGGGAAAGGATGGCTTTGCAGCCCCTCCACATCTGTCCACAGGGCCCGGTGTCCCTCAGAGGGGCGTTAAATGAAGCCCTCCCACTCGTTGTGCAGAGCTGCCCATAGTGTCGAGCTGCTGGGAAGTCACTGAATAGCCAAGGTGAGCCTGTGGTCCCTGGCCCGGTAACCAGTTCTTAATTCCTCAGTTCTAAGCAGATAGGATTTTAACCTTAATGATGATTTCTACAAGGCAGTATGCCTCTAAACATGTATTTTAAAAGACAGCTGCAGGGCTGACTGAGCCACTTGTGCTTGCCATGCTGCTACCCCACCATCCTCGGGCTGCATCCCGCATCAGGGCTGTATCAGAGCAGCCCTGCAGGAGCCCGCGAGGCCTGGCTTCCCTCTGTGCAGAGCACACAGAAAGCAGTCCAAGCCCCAGGGAGGTGGGTCTGTTGACAGACTGGCTTGTTATCTTGTTTTCACATCGATTGCAACTCATGGGGCTGTTAGAACAAGCGTGGGTGGGGGTTCCTCCTGCCCTGCCCTATGCTGCCTGTTAAAATAAGAGGGTGGTTTATCACATTGTTTTTCACTGAAGATCAGGCCAGCAGCTGGGACTCCAGGGGGTCCCTGCATGGTTTTGTACATTGCAAAGAAGAGCCAGCCAAGCTCTTTTCAGGGCTCCATCAACACCAACATAACACATGTGTGATTTTGGAGATCAGGGTTTGGGGACATGTGAAATTTTGTTTGACTGCTAAGGAATATTAGGCAGATCTCAAAACATTTAAACACTACATTTTCAAACTCAAATAATTGGATGGTTTTTCCTATCAATTTCCAGGAACTATAGCATGCAGTTGACCACTAACATTCCAATTGCACTTTTCAGTCCACAAAGCACTTTTACATGTATGATTATTCCCAGATTACAGATAAGGAAACCAAAGCTCAGAAATATTAAGGACATTTTGACCAAAGTCATGTGTTTTATGGCTAGTGACTGAGGTGACTGGAAGCTAGAAACCAAGGCCAGGTCTCCTGCTGCCTCCCAGTTCTGAGGATTTTTTCCCCTACAATATCCTGCTTCACGTGTGTTTCTGTCCTTTTGTCCAGGCTGAATTGTCCATTTGCTGCTTCAGCATGTAGCACTCAGTGCCTCGATGGAAGTTTAGGGGGTATAATAGAGACCTATAAGATAATTGGAGACTGACTCATTGCATTGTACTATAGATTCACAAGTTTACAGCAATTTGAAGATGTTTTTAAGGAGTTGCTACCCTGACAGATTCATGAGCCTGTCACATGCAAGAGAGTATGTATTTACATACCTCCTCCCTGAGTCCTCCACCCACTTCTGGAGACTGTTTGGAGATACAAAGGGACTTGCCCGAGGTTGTGTAACCAGTAAGTGGTAGAGCCTGAGTGTAAATCTGGGTTTGTCTCAGTGCAAATCCAGCCCCGTCCAGCTCCTACGTGGTGTTGGAGGAGAAACCAGAGCAGCAGGGTGGCTGCTGCGGGCTCAGCACAGGCAGTGCAGGGTCTCGCCCTCGCCGTCCTGGTCTCCTTCCCAGCACACCTTCGGGCCTCATCTCTCAGCGTTGGGGTTCCCCTCTGTCCCATCTGATGGAAGTTGTTGACACTGCACGTGACCTCCTTTTCCCTTACTGTGCCTTGTAATCATGAGAAATTTTTTCTTGCAATTGACATCAGCCACTGATTTCCACCGCCAGTTGCTCTCTACCTTTCAGAAGCCCCCATGCCTGTCATCTAGGTCAGGGGCGTCCAACCTTCTGGCTTCTCTGAGCCACACTGGAAGAAGGGTTGTCTTGGGCCACACAGTAAATACATTGTGACACATAATCACAAAAAATCTCATAATGTTTTAAGTAAATTTACGATTTTGTGTTGTTCTGCATTCACAATGATCGGGCTGGATGCGGCCTTCAAGTATACTTCTCTGCACCTCACAACGAGGTAGGAGGGAATGGCTTTTGAGGCTATAGAAAAGTAAAGCTTCCATAAAGCCGATGTACAGAAAGAAGGCAATGTGTCACCCAGCGGAAACAGCACCCGTGCAAGTGTTAGGTGGGCACCAGCTTTGAGGTACTCTGACCCAGGCCCAGAGGCACCCTGGGTACCGTGTGCAGAGGCATCCCAAGCTGCTGCAAAGACCAGAACCCAGAGCTGGCCTGCCCACCCCCAGCCCCCCGCATCCCTCCGCCCTCCACTGGCCTTACACCTTGCACCCCCAACCCTTTGGAAATCTTTCTGCTTC